AAATTAATTTCTAATTAATATTAAATCAAATAAATAAAATTATTAGTAAATTAAATTTTAAAAATAAATATATATTAAATTAATTTACTATTAATTAGGAGTGGATTTCCTTTTTCTATTACTTTTTTATAATCTTTTAAATCAAAAAATATGATAAATCTCCATTTAACACCCCTTTCGTTTGAATAATCTTTTTGAAATTGTTCATTATTCTTGTATATTTCTAATAAATCTCTCGAAATTTTTTCATTTAAATCACCAAGTAGTTTATTCCTTTTTTCATCTTTTTCTTGATTACTATATGTTTTTTTCTTTCCATATCCATTGAAATATTTTAAGCATAAAAATTCGGCAAAGGTAGGGATTAAATCCTTTGATATAGTCTTATTAAGCAAAAAATTCTCAAATTTTTTGAAAAATTCCGACAAACAATTTGGTTCGTTTATAACTTCTTTTTTGGCCACTTGTTTGGTCTCAACCTTTAATTTTTATCAAATAATGTGACTCATTAGAAATTATAAAAGTATGTATTGAATTTTACCTCTTTTTCAATTTTGATTTCTTCATCTCCTATTTGCTTCTCTTTGCCTTTACTTGATCCAACATGTTCTATTTTACCTTCATAGTTTCTTCTAATCAAATATTCCTCATCCTCATCGCTATCTTTTCCTGTTTTTCCCATCACTTTTCTTACTGCAATTTTCATTAATTTTGAATATTTTATTCCAATATTTAAAAGATTAATATTTTCTTCATTAATTGTTGGAGTAAAGAAAATCTGACGATAAATTTTCTCTTCCATTTCTAAATCGAGAACGTCTAAAATTAATGTTATAAATAATAAATTTTAATTAAATAATTTAAAGAAATAATTATTAAGCAAAAAATCAGTTAAAACTCAAAAATAGTTTGATAATAATTTCGAAAAGCAATAAAACAAATCTCAGAAAACATCTCAAGATTGAATGGGATTTAATCTAAATAGCTTTGATATTAACTCAACAATACCAACACCGCATAAGTATTTCTGAGTGCTTCGAAAATATTTTTCCAACCTCTCCCCCCCCCCCCTACTCCTCCCCCCTTTTTTTAAGTTTAATTTAAATCAAACCAATTCGCATTTGCACAGGAAAAGGCATTTCTAAATGATTAAACATATTAACACCACCTAAATATTTTCTCATATTTTTCTTTACAAATTTAAATCTTTTAATATTTTCTTTTTGTAATTTATAAAATTCTTTTGCAAAAACATTAGAATCTGACTTTCTTAAATTATTTGTGTTTGTTTTATCAATTAATAAATTTGTAATTTCTTTAATTTGGAGTAAATCAACATAATTATTTATCGAATCATCATTTAATAAAATATTTTCTTTTACTGAAGTTGAGGAATCGGAGGTTGAGGGTTTATTTCCAATGCTACCTTTAAACTCCTAGAGAAAATAAAATTTAAAAAGACAAATTACTTGATGAAAAAACAGCTCTGATTGTTACAAGAAGATAATTAAATAATTAACATATGTAAATATCAAGGATTTTACGGGTTATCCACAGCCGATAACAGAAACTAGAACAAATTCTATCCAAATTTTTCTCTACCCTTGACATTACCATAATTGTATGAATAGGTAAGAGTTAAACGAAGCTTTTGTGGTGAGCGAACTACAAGGAGGTCGCAGGTTCAATCCTGCCCGCCGGCGGCTAAACTTTTGCTAAACTCTTTCTTAATTAAAAATTTCATCAAATTTAACCTCAAAAAATAAATGTATTTCTAGCATATTTTTAATATCCTTTCTATTTAATTCATTCAACTCTTTTTCATTAATTTTTGAAATTAATAACTTTAATTCATCATATTTTCCTTTAAAATTTTCTTTATTTTCGTCAGATATTTCCAAGTCTGTCTTACTATTTTGTTTATCCCCTCCTTTTTTCTTTTTTCCAGATTTTTTATTTTTTTGAGTACTATTCTTATTTAAAACATTTTCTATTAATTTTAAATTTTCTTCAATATTTAAATTTAAAATTGAAAGATTTAATTTAAAATAAATTGACTGATTTATTCCATCTTCCCCAACATTATCAATGAAAATTTGTTTAACAAATCTTGGAAAATCATTTTTGTTAATAACTTAATTATTTAATTAAACATTTTTAAATTAAATTTAAAAATAATTTTACAATGATTATTTGTCTGCGCTTTAATCAAAATAATTTTATAAAATAATATAATTTGAAATAAATAATAAATATTATTTAATAAATACATTTAAATTTACATTTAATTTTTAAATAAAAATAATTTTTATTTAAATTTATTTTAAATTTTTTAGTAAATAAAAAATTGATTGTCAATCTTGTATGTATGTAAGTCTTATAGAGCGATGCTATAATATGGGGAGTGGGTAGCTAGCTGTATATTTAATTTCCAACATGTCAATAATTGACAATAAACGATGGAGAGGAAATGCTTGACAATTAATGAATTGATTTGCGTAGGTGTAGGCAATGAATGATAAACAGTTAAAATCTGCAGTCCTCGGAAACAAAAACCAAACAATCCTATGTTGCAGACAGCCCTGGTGTGTCATTCGACTCAGTTCGCGGAGCTCTTTCAAACGAGCTATTATTTGCTTATTCGTTTTTTGACCCCAAAAAATCAGCTTGGTCACTTCTATGGTTTTCGATTTTCAGGGGTCTGAAACTCCGGAAAAAATGCCTTTGAGCACCGTTTTGAGAACTTTTATGGTGTTTTTCACACTTTCCACATTTTTTTACATTAGAAAAACATAACTTTCAGTGTGTTGCTAAGGTGAACCCTAGCCGAGTAGTTGCGGACAGCCCTGGTAGGGATACCTTGAAATTTAGATTTTTTAAGTTTTGCTTTTCCAGATTTACTTAATTTTGACTTTTATAAAACCTTTAATTTATATATGTCGGCGGCCAAATTAAATTCTTATCCAAATTTAATTTGGCAGGCCGAATCTAATTTGACCGCCGACATATGTTTTCTGTTTAGAGGAGGAATTAAAGTATAAAAATTTGAAGAATGCAAATTAGGTCAATATTTTCGAATTAAGTGTATAGAAGATTCAGACAATGTTAAAATCAGGAAAGAAATTATGAATTTTTGAAGAGTTTTTTGAATCAGGGATTTTTAAAAAATTACTTATTCATTCTAATAGAATAACAGTCAACTTTCATACCCCCTGAAATTTCTCATTCTATTGGCTTTCTATTAGAATAATTACAGTAATAAATATACATAAGCTTTTTGCGACAAAATGGCTGCCAAAGAAGTTCCGCACAAAAATGTCAGTGTTTGTAAATTGATTTTTTTGTCAAAAATTTTATTTTTGATTTTTAATAAATAATTTCCAAGTACCAATTTAGAATCTAAAAATAAAATTTAGCATTTCAATAAATTCCAGTAATTTTTATTTTTCAGAACTTTAAATTTTAATCCTCTTACATTTCTATCAATATTATGGCAGGGCAAAATAATGAGGGTATGGATATTTTTAGATAAAAACTTAAAAAATAAAAAATTTTATTCTACTAATTTTAAAAATATTAAACTTCCTCTGAAATTTTAGTACAATTTTGGTCACTTATTAGTTATTAGTCTAGCAGACTCATTTATGTCAAAATGGTCAGTCTTTATTCTCAATTTCTTTACTATTAATGTCTCATTGAATAATGCCAAATGGAAAAAGAAAATTGATGAAGGGAGAAAGACTGACCATTCTGTACATAAATGAGTCCGTATAAAGTCCTAGTTTGGTTTAACTCACAAGTACCCAATTTCTGTTAAAATTAATTTATTTACAGATGATGATCAATTAGAAAATTTGAGAGCGATTAAAGAAATTAATGACCGTCTTTGTAACGTTGAAAATAAAACTAATGAGCTAGACGAGATAATTTCTTTACAAGAGCAGCGTTTAATTAATTCGGAGGAACAGTTGAGAAAATTAAGAAATAAACAAAAGAAGAAGTCTTCTTGGCTTGGTTCTTTGACAAATTTTGTTGGAGGAGTGATTGATACTGGAAAGAGTTATGTTGGGAAGATTTATGGTGAATTGAAAAGTCAAAAATAATTTTTTTTAATTTTCTAGAAAATGTGACAACTCCAATTATTGAAAAACCTAAAGTGGAAGAATTACTTGTTGATAGTAAAGAAGGTAATATTGAACCGGACAGGCCTCTTTTTTCCTCCCCAATTTTTCCCCTATATTTTTACAAAATGGTCAGAATTTTTCCTTTCCATCCAAATTACCTTTCTAATTTTTGCCTACTACATATGTACATATCAAACAAAAAAAATTATTTAATTTTATACGAGTGAAAGTACATGCCAGGGGTAGTTGGGAGCAGTCGGAAATCGGAAGAGCCGGAAATCGGAACTGGCTCAAAAGTCGGAAATCGGAATTCTGACCCATCTCTAGTACATGCCAAAAACATGTAAAAGGAAGAAAAATATAAGGTAAAAATTGGGGAGGAAAAAAGGGGGTCTGTCCTGTTCAATATTACCTTAAAAGAAATTTAATTACAGAAAAGAAAGAGGATTTAGCCGAGGAATTTACTAAAATTGGGAACGATTTGACTTCAAAAAATATTATAAATGAATTTAATAAAATCGAAATTTTCTTTGAGGAGAAAGGAGAGAGGCCACAAAATTTTAGAGAAGTAAATAAATTGGGGGAAGTAAATAAGGAAAAGAAGGAAAATATTAATTTACCAACAATTCCAAAGAATCAAAATAATGGAGACGTTCCGAATTTGTCTAATAACAATGGACAATCGTCTTCTTTTAATTCTGACAACAATGGAGGGGATGTTGATCCAAAAAATAAGGAATCTAAAATTAAAGATTCGCAAGAGGTAGAAATTAAAATGTTTAAAATAAATTGTTGGAATTTTTTTTAATTGAAGAAAATTTGGTTTATTTCATAGGGAGTAGTTACTGTATTTATCCGAAATTTATGGATAAGTTAATGGATAGCCTCACAATCAATTTGACCGAAAAATTGAAAAGCCAACCGGTCCCCATCATTTGGTTTGGGTGTTGAGAGATCCTAGCCCTAAACTTGAAACTCAGATAAAGATGAAAATTTTTCTGCCGACATACATATATAATCTAAATTTAAACTTTTTTCTAGCCTGTAAATGATCAAAATAGTGGAGAAGTTCCGAATTTGTCTAATAATAATGGACAACCTTCTTCTTCTAATCCTAACGACAATGGAGGGGATAATCCTAAAAATAATGAATATGAATCTCAAATTAAGGATTTGCAAGAGGTGAAATTAAATAATTGCTAATCTAATTTTTGTTGATTCTTTCTGTTTTTTAATCATAGGTTTTTAAATTTAGTGGGTTAAGGAAGGATAAGGGGATTTGAGGGAATAAAAAAAACCCATTGAAGTAAATGATTTTCGGACCCGCACCATAATTGAAGAATATTGGAATTCAGTGCAGGTCTTCCTCCATTTAGAATTTTGACTTCCTTCCTTTAACGCCGCAGTCATCAAAAACATAGAAAAATGGCAAGATACTTAGTGTAGATTTTTTCCCGTAGAGGTACGGGGAACGTGGAATCCGAACCATGGGGAACGGGGGCTCTGCGGGGAGACCTTCCCCCTCCCACGTTCCGGGGAGTTCCCTTCCCCTGTAACGGGGATGAACCCTACCCTACTTCCAACTGTCTCCAACCCCAAGCTTGAAACCCAAAGAAAACTTGAAATCTTTTTGCCAACAAATCTAAATTTAAAAAAAAATTTGTAGACTGTAACTCGTCAGAACATCGAATATAGTCGCCTTCTTAATGAATTGAAACAACGTATTTCGCTGCAAGAACAGAAAGTTTTGGAAAAAGAGGAAATAATTAAACAAAATCAGGAAAAAATTGAAAAGCGGGAAGAGTTGATTGCCAAACTTCTACGAGAGAAAATTAGTGCTGAGGAACAGAAAAAGAACCTTGAAGAATTAAACAAGAAACTTGAGGAAGGGAAAAATAAAAGTGAAAAAGGTGAAAGAGAATGTTTTACAAAAAAGTTTTTTTTTAATTTTTAGGTGAAACAATATTTAATACTGTTGTTGAAGTTGGTGTTGGGGCGTTGGAGGCGCTGCTGGTGCGGTTATTGAAGTGGTGGTTGGTGTTGTTAAGAGTGCGTTTAAGGCAGTTAAAAGTTTCTTTGGATGGTTTTGTAGTTGAATTGAATAAAAATTATTTGATGTCTTTGACATTTTAAATTTTAAAATGAATTTTTGAGTTTTATAATTTATTGGTTTCTTTTTTGAAATAAATTTATTTTACGATTTTTATTAAACAATTTTTATTCTTCTCCCCTTCTTGTCTGACATTTATTGTTACACGGATCTTCTTCACTTTCCAAATTTTCGTCTTCATTTACTGGCGCTAATGGTAAGTGGAAAGGTCTCGTTGGTTGATGCTTTTCAGGCGATGTTGGTAAAGGTAATGAAGTGGTAGTGAGTAATACTGGTGCAGATAACTTCTAAAAATTTATTTTTAAAATGGGAAGCTGAGAATTTAAATAATTCTTGGATAAATTGGAATATTAATACAGTAAGGTGCAAAAGTTTATGCGGCGGCACATTGCAGGCAGGGAAATCGATATATCCCAGGAAGAAAAGGGACCTAAATTAAATCAATTATATATTAATTAAGGATAGGTATTGTTAAGGATAGGTTGCCGAAGAAATAAAAATGAGCATTTTATAGGGTATTTCGAGTGATTTTGACAACATTGTGAATTTAAGCGACCCTATCTCACAGCTGAAATTTTTCACACATATGAGACCAAGTGTATTTTGTAGCAAATTTTATGGGCTTTCTAATGAGCCCAAAAAGAATTTTTGATACAGGCCCTAGGGAGCTAAAATATTTTTCGAAGTACTGTAATCTCATTTCCCGTTGATTTTTGAGATCTCAATGTATAAAGCGAGTAAAGACTTCTTTTTTGCTCTTTCCCCATTCAATATCAATGAAAAAGTTTATAAAAATTTTTGTAATTTTTTTCGTTTTGTTTTAGAACCAAAAAAATTTTTTTTCTATATGCCGCATAAACTTTTGCTCCCCCAAAATGGAAGGTAAATAAGTTATTACGTGAATAAATTTTGAATGACGTGAGTATTAAAAAAACTTTTTATGGATATTATAAACAGATGACCTATACTTAATTAAAATATAATCGATTTAATTCAGGTCCTTTTTCTTCCCGAGATATATCGATTTATCTGTCTGCAATGTGCCGCCGCATAAACTTTTGCACCTTACTGTATAAGAATTTAATTTTTGATAGAATGAGTTCAGAAAATAAATATTAGACCCTAGCCGGCGTTGTGTTTATATCATTTTGCTTCTCCAATGTCTCATCCAGTCTCTCTGAGGTGTGTATAGTATTTTTCAAATTTTCTGGTGCCCATCCATTTTTAATTTGTTCAATTTGCTTAATAAAATTTATAAAATTTCAAAAAATAAAATTACTTTTTCGCTAATTTTTGATAACTTCCCTCCACAAAATTTAGGCTGTATAGGGATTGATATAGATTGACGCATATTGCGCAACTTTTTCATAGAAATATTAGAAAATCGACGCAAATTTAGACCCTTTTCAGTAGACAATTCTGTACTATTTGTGTTGGAAAGGGAATCATCAACTAAATTTAGGAAGAGATTTTTTAATAAAAAATCTTTTTTTGTTCACCATTAGACCCCCTTTTTAATTCTTGTTGTCTTTCTACCATTCGAACGGGCAGATGCTCTTCTGGTAAATTACACAATGTTGCAGATCCGACAAGAGGGTGTTGGGGTTGGGTTGCAATACTTTCCGCGTAAAGAGGGGCCAGCTCTGTTTTCGGGTTAAATAAATCGTCACAGGAATCTTCTTAAATTATTTATTATTTCCATCCATAAAATTATAAGGTACTTTTCCGTTTAACTGAGTGCCAGCCAACTATAATGCCTGATCCAATACAAATCAATTTTATATTTTTCGAAAGTCCTCGATAAGCTATATATTTTTTCTAATAGGATAAGTCATGTCTGATCAATGATTAACAGGTTATAAACCGATGTCTAGTTATTTGATGTTTTTTGCATTTGTCGGGTTATAACTTTTTAGTTGGTGATCAGACCTGATCCATTAAGTTGGAAAAAAATATCGCTTATCGAGAGCTTTCGAATGATATGAAATTCATTTGTATTGGATCAAGCATTAATAAGGTATAGCCGATCATATGTCGTCTGGCACTCATTTTGCGTTCGTTTAACGGAAAAGTACCAATAATAAATACCAGAAATAATCTGTTCTGGTGTTTTATCATAGCACATGTCAGCCATTGTCATAGCCATTGCAATATTTCGATCAATTATAAAATTACCTTTATTTAAATTATTTAAAATAAAAATTAAATTCAAAATACATTCAAAATCATCGTCATCTTCTCCTAAAGGATTCAATAAAGCTTCTGCAACTTTAACCCAGCCCATGATGAAGAATAGTTCCAAAATAGTCATTAAGGGTATTATTCTGTCTATCTATTTAAAATTTGGTTGAATTTTTAGAAAAACCTTTTCATGATTATTTTGCTAATTACCGTATATCCTTTAATAACTACCCTGGGTAATTATTGTTTCGACCTTCCGTTGGAAAGAGGAATTAATCGAGGGAGTGTAATTATACGAGGTTTGAAATTTGAACGTGTTTTAGGGCATTTGTTGGGGGGTAATTATTGTTTCAATCTATCGCTGGGGGGGGGGTAATTATTTGAGGGAGGGCAATTAATACAGGTTATACGGTAAGATCGATATTCTCTTTTTAAAGGATAATCAAAAAATACTTGAAGATATTCCTCATTTTGTTTTTTCTCATGTTCATTAATTCTGTATTGTCTTGAAACTAAGCAAAGTAAAAAATAAATTCTAACAGCTAAGAAGACAACTTGTGGATATGCTAAAAGCAAATTTGTTTAAATTAATTTATTATTCGATTTCCCAACCTAATGGTACAGGTACCCAATCATAGTTACACAAGATTTGAAGTTTCTAAAAATTTCTTATAATTAATCACATTTGTTAAAATTAGAGATAAGACTAAAATTTATTAGCTAAATTAAAAACTCTTTACAACGATACCCCTCTTTTTCACGTAAGAAAAGTCAAATTTGAGACAGGAATCGTAAAGAGAACCACTGTACATAATTGTTGCTTTTTTTAAATTATTTTATAATTTCATAAACTTAGCAAAAATCTTTTCATTATTTTTAATCTTTTGAAGAATTCCTAATTAAACAAAAATCCTACACCTCTTTAAACACTTTAACTTCATTCAATATCGCATTCATCAACATATCTGCCACAATATTACCGCAAAGACGCAAGCGGTAACAAATAACAAAAATCCAATTAATTGGTATCCAATAATTATTAAACCCGACAGAAGGTATATTTTCTAATAATTCGCGCTCATTCTTCTGTAATATTTAAATTATTTTTTTTTCTTTTCAAAAAAACTTTTTTACTTTCAAAAGTCCCGAATCAACCAAAGAATCCAGATTTGGGAAACGCTTCCTAACGGGTACAGAAATATCGCGAAGTACCAAAACTTGTGTTAAACACAAATATCTTTAAAAATTTTAACGGAAAATATTTTTAAAATTTTACCTTAATAATGTTCTGCGTTGATTATTAATTTCTGACTCATCTCCACGAATATAAGTATTAATGTAAAAAGCGGCACTGTCAATAAAGCCTATGTTTTGAAATATATTTTTCCACCTGAGAAAATTATAAAAAAAATTTGAACGAAAAATAATTTTCTGTGAATTAATATTGGTATAAGCATTGGAGGTAAGGTTTAGAAGTTTATTTATCAAAAATTTGCATGTGTGTACTTTCGGAGCCCGTCCGTGGGTTCAATTTTATGGTTATCCTGCCCCTATTGCACCCAGTTTCCCCCACACCATTCGGATAATGTAAAACTGCATTAAAATATTCGAAATAAAATGATTTGGTTTAATTAGGCGCAAAATTTTCATAAATAAAGTGTTATTTAAAATTAAATTAAATAATAAATGAACCTATCAACAACAATGGTAACAAAAAATCCGAGCCTGAAAAATTATAAAAATAATTTTTAATTAAGTTAATTTAATAATATTCATTTGCAAAAATAATATACATAAAAGTTAAAGGTAGGAGATGCAATCTAATATCAATATGACGCCCAATACTTTCAAACATTTTTTGCTGTATTGTATCAAGACTAAACCGATAAATGCTAAAAACGATATAATAGAGAACGATCCAAACAATCACCTCGACTAGTACCTAAAATATAAAATTTAAAATTCTTCTGTAAATTTTTCCGATACCATGAATACCTTAAATGAATCCCTAAGCTTCTTTCTATAGGTCCTCATTGTGGGTTTATATTCCTCATTGTGGGTTTTTATATTATACATATTATATTATGGGCTATTAATGAATGGAAGTTTATTTTTCATAGGTTTCTCAGACGTGTATTTGAGACTGACACACATTAATATTAGGTTTCGCGTGTGTCATGATACGAGGGTTTGGAATAGTTTGAGGGCGGTCCGGGTGCAACTTTATGTATAGATGACAGTTTTTAAAGTACAGTATGTAAATTACTTACAGACTTCCAAACTGATCCTCGCCATCTAAAAAGAATCCTTAAAAATGACCCAACAGTTGAAGTAGAGGAATCCAAAATATACGAAACTGTCATTTTATTTTTAATTTCTTTTAACTTTAAAGTCTAAAAAATTTAAAAGGGCAGACTAATTATTATAAAAATTGTTAACAATAAGAAATCAATTTTTAATTAAATATTAAACTTTTTGTAAAAATCATCGTTTAAATTTCAAAGTAAAAAATGAAAAATTAAACTTAAGATGTTAAAGATTATTTTATTAAATTTGTTTTTTTTTCTTTAAATTTATTTGAAAAATAATTCTATTAGAATTTCTGTGATCATTAAATTCCATAAATTTTTTAAAAAATATTTTCTTCCTAATTTTAAATAAAATTATTTTCTTATTCATAAAAATAGGTTAAATAAATAAATAAATATTATTTCCTAAAAATTTTTATTTAATATTAAAAATTCTTTAATAAAATAAAAATTTATTTATTCAAATAATAAAAAGACAAACCTATTCACCTATTTTTTATAGTTTTTAATGCTTTTGATTGAAACGATAATAAAAAATGAGAACCAATAAAAGTTTAAAAATAAGGAGACAAACATTAAATAAATGAAATAAAAAATATAAAAAAATTATTAAAGCTAAATCTCACAAAAAAGGGCCGATTATTTGATAAAAATAAACTTTTGAACTTAAAATTGTGGATAGACAATGCCAGGTCATACATATTTGTAAAACAACACCCTTAAAAATTTAATCTAAAAAAAGTGACACTAATTATGACCCGACCTACTATTTTTTTGATCAAATTAAAAAACAAAATATTTATCATTATTAAATAAAAATATACAAATTATTTGAATAAAAATATATATTTAGAGAACAAAAGAGTGAAAATAATAATAATAGAAAGCTGTGTAAATTTAAATAATAATATAAAATAATTTTACCTAAAAAGAGCTTTTAATAAAAATAATAAAATGTCTTTATCGGGCAAAATAAATAAATAAAATAATCAGAAAAAATCTAAGATTTTAGAATTCTTTGATATAATTTGCTGCAACACTAGATTTTTTTAAATATATTTTTTATTTTCTTTCAATTTATTTAAAAGTCTACAAGTCAAATAAAATTAGAATAATATATTCATCAAATTTGTAATAATCAGTGTAAACTTATTTTTAGTCGCCTCCCTCTATCATAATAAACTCCGCCACATAATTATATGAACACCCCCCAAATACAACTTTTTACCGTATTTATATGTCAAAATACTTTCTTTAACCTTAATATATTTTAGAAATCGGCTAAAATCGCCTTAGAAAAAAGAAAATCTGAAAATTATTCACCGGTAAAAATTTTGAGAAAATTTTCAAATTTTCGACCGCCACATAATTATATGAACACTTTGGGTTTTCGTATTTCTAAGGGTAGAAAAAATCTACAAAAATTCCAATAAACTTATTTATAAATACTAAGAAAAAATAAAAAAGAACCAGGCGTATATCACATTCCTGTGTCGAGATCTCGATACCTCGAAATCAACGTAAAACAGGGGTAAGCAGCTTCAAAAAATTTTTTCGACCCATTACGTATTATTTTAAATTTATATTTTATGCTTATCTGAAAGCCCTTGAAATTTGCTGCAAGATAGCAACTACCTCATTTTCCAGAAAAAATATTCTGGCATATTACTAACTGTCAAATCATTAAGTTTCAAATAAAGACTAATTGCCGCATAAAATGCCCTATAAGATCGCTACGGAAGAATGAAAGTAAATATCTCTTAATTGTATTTTTTCTGAAAAATAAAATTTCTGGTATCTAATAGCAAATTTCAAGGGCTTTCAGGTAAGCCTAAAATAAAAATTTTAAATAATCGATAAGGGGTCGAAAAATTTTTTCGAAGCTGCTTACCGCTGTTTTACGTTGATTTTCGTGGTTCAAGATCTCGACACTTAAAGCAGATATGGGCTTAGTTCTTTTTTATTTATTCTTAGTATTAATAAATAAGACTATTGGAATTTTTATAGATTTTTCCTACCCTTAGAAATACGAAACCCCAAAGTGTTCATATAATTATGTGGCGGTCGAAAAATTGAAAAATTTCAAAAAAAATTTTACCCTGAAACCATTTTCAGATTTTCTTTTTTCTAAGGCGATTTTGGCCGATTTCTAAAATATATTGAGGTTAAAAATAGATATTTGCCTACTACATACGGTAAAAAATGGAAATTTAGGGGTGTTCATATAATTATGTGGCGGAGTGTAGACTTCCCTTTATCATCTTTTGGTATTTTCATATCTTTAATATTTTATTTAGATTTTTTAGAATATATTTTATATTATAAAAATTTTATTTAAAAAATTAATTTAATTAATACACTTAATTAATAAAAAAATATGTATTATTCAAAATAAAAACATACTCTTATTTTCATCTTCTTTTAAATTTTCATTTAAATCTTCATTATTTTCTTTATCCAATAATAAATTCTCATGATTTTCTTCCAACATTTTAAATATTTTATAAACACTTAAAATTACAGAAAAATTATCTATAATTAAATTATCGATGTTTGTTTTGAAATTTTCAATTTCTTTTTCAAGCATTTTTTGATTTTCTTCATCAATTTCTTCAACTTTCAATTCATCTTCAATTATTTTAACTTCTTCCTTTTCTTCAAAATTACTTTCTTCTTTTTCATTTTTTTCAGTTATTTTATTAACTAAATTTTCTAAGAGAATATCTTGGAATGCATTTGAAATATTATCAAGTAAAATTGGAAAAATAGCTTCCCTTCCACTTAAAATTAATGAAACATCTTTTTCAATAATATTGTGCAGATATTCATTATCAATTTTTATTTTTGTTATACTTAAATTAATAAATGCTTTAAGTATATAAAATATTTTAAAGATTAAATTTGAAAAATATTTTCGGTGTCGAAAGACTCGGAGTTGTACATATTTTGTTGGATTGAGAATGTCAGGGTCAGGTCGGGATTTTAGCCAATAAAACTATGGAGTCGGGATCCAATCCAAGATTTTTAATACATTTTGAAAAGAGTTAAATTTATATGAATTTAAGTAGATAGACAAGGATAAACTTAATTCTTCTCATTGAAAACTCTTAATTGCCAAATAAATTAAAAACTTTTAACAAACAATTTTTCGTAAAGAACAGCCAAAATTGCTGGGTAAATTAACTGATCATTTCCAGAATCCTGCATTTTTATAATTTCTTCGAATAAAATTGCATATCGCAATAATTTGTAAATATTATTTACAAAATCATATAGAGTGGTATTCGTTATATTTCCCATAATTAAAGATATCGCGTTCATTAAAGTTCCATTTTGATGATTTATTATTAATTCATCTAAAAAGTAAATAGAATAAAAAAGAATTGCTCTACTATTTTAATATTAAAATAGGTAAGATGTTTTTTAAAAATTTGGTTAGTGGTTTAAGGTATAAAGTCATTATAAAGTCCGATATTCATTTGAGAAAGTATCAAAAAATGATGTTAGATAATAATGGACATTAAATTGTTTTTTGATTTCATTTCATTATTTTGTTATAGTAAATTGTATAATTTATGCGCAAAGGGCTCATTATTTATCTGACAACCCATTATTTTTAAAATAGTTTTTTTAATATTTTCTGTACATCAACGAAATTTTATTTTATTTAATTAAATCTAAATAAAATAAATCTTTCAAACAAAACAAGCTTAATCCTTCCTTAATAAAATATACTAGATTAATAATTTAATTAGAGTTCGGAATTTGAAAAATGCCGGATAAGGTTTTCGGATTTTCAATTTTACTCTATCCGGATCGATTTTGGAACTACAAAAATTAAAAACCTGGTACCGGAAATCCCGTTTATATCAAAATATCCGGATTCCGGACTACCGATCCGGAAAATCCGGCCGGATAGAGAAAAAATTAAAAATCCGGAAACCGGATCCGTTCCGAGTCCGAACTCTATTTTATATGTACATTTTGTTTTAGAGAGGTGTTCTACTTTTTATCTTATTTTATAATTAATTACTAACCAATTTTATCTTCAACAGAAATAATTCTTTCTGCCTTTTGTCTTTCACTTAAAACGACGGCTAAAGTTTTTTCTATATTTCCTCTAACATTATCAATTAATTCATCTCCTTTCGCTTGATAAAACATTAAAAATTTATATCCAAAAGCGGTAAATTTTCCATGATTTTGAATTGTTTGTGGATAGCTTTTTGAAATTGAACAAATAGCATTACAAAAATCTTCATAAAATTTTTTCTCAAAGCGCCAATATTCAATTAATTCAAATTTTATATTGAATAACCAAAAATATTTTTGGATTGATTCAAAAAAATGTAAAATAGCTTTGTCTATCAAACAATAAAGTTCTAAATAATTTTGTTCATTTAATTTATCTATTAATTTTGAAATTATTTCAGCTGAATCAATCAACACGTTTATCCGATCATTTATTAAATCCAAAACTTTTTCTGTTGGTAATAATGTTTCTAAGTTATTTTGTCCTTGTAATTGTTTATTTTTTAATTGTTTTTTAAGTTTTCTTTTTTCTTTTAAATTTTCTTTTCGATCATTTTTAGTATTCCTTAATTCAATTTCTTTAGCTATTCTAGCTTCTTTTTCAGCCTTTTTCTGTTGTTGAATTTTTTCCTGAATTTCCCGATTATTTTGTTTTATAGCTTGTTTTATATAAAATAAATCTTCTGAATTATTTTCTTTTATTTTTAATTTATTCTTATTTTGTTGTTTTTGTTCTTTCCCCTTAGATTTCTTTTTATTTTTCTTTCCTTGATCAGTATTTTTACTGTCAACGGATTTTGTTTCATTTGAATTTTCCTATAAATTTTTTAGTTTTATTCTTTGGAAATTTGTATGGAATGTTTATGATAAGAACTTAATTAAAAAATATATTTTAGACAGATTGTGGAGAGCCTTTACTTTCTTTTATTTCAGGGATCTCTTCCGCTGTCGTCTCTCGCCGACTTCCTTTTTTATTTTTCTTCCGCCTCCGTCTACTCCATTTAAAAATATCGTTAATTATTTAATTATTAATGACACTCAATCATTAATTATTTAATAATTAAAATTTATACTTGTAACCCCTCTGTTGATTTTGATGTCAAATCATCATCATTAACAGCTAACTTCGTTAACGACTGTTCTTCAAAAATACTTTTACTATTAATAATTTGTATATTATCCGTTTTTATAGGTGACAATCCAATATTTTTATTTAATTTATTTTTCTCTTTATCAGAAATTAATTTTTGATTTTGTTTTTTATTTTTCTTCTTTTTACTTGAAATTTCCTGCCATTCATTTTCTACGATTTTCGTTTTTACATTATTATCATTTTTATTTAAATTATTTAACAATAATTTCTCAGACGAATTCTCTGAAGGTTGACCAATTTCCAAATTCTTTTGAACCAAATCCTTACTAAAATCTTTTTTATATTTTTGTGTTGATTGTTCTTGATTATCTATAACCTAAAATAATTAAAAGAATAATTAAAAAATAAAAAACTTTTTCCTTTCCTTTATTCATTTTATTATTATTATTATTATTTTTATTTAATTCAACAATATTTTTATTTTTATCTTTAGTTGATAAAATCTCGTTCATTATTTTTTCTGTTACATTACCAAATGTTACATTATTACTGTTATCTTTATTTATATTAATTTCATTCAAATTTTTATCAAAATTTTCTTTTTCCATATCAAAAAGAACTCCATCTTTTACATTCTTTATTTTTTTACTTAACAAAGTAAGCAACCGGAAGTCACTATTTTCTTCAATAAATTTATATGGTTTTCTATAATATTTTAGTAAATTTGTTATATATTTTGGAATATTATTTTCTGTATATTTTGGTATATTTTGTTGATATTCAAAAAAATGCACACCCTTTCGGCAATCATGGACAATTTCTGGCGATCCATCATCAGCATAAGGATTTGTGTCAACTAAAATTACAGAGAAGATAAGTACATATACATACCGTATTTGATCTAATTGAATGACAGTCATTCTATTTTTCGATAATCAATTATTTCAAATTTTATCAAAAATTTGTAAATTTTTAAGTAAATTTATTGAATTCCTATCAATTCCATAGAATCCAAATCCCTTTATATCCCCCCTTAATCGCTTGAACCCTCAATATCTGCCAAAATCTCCTAAAACCTCTGTATCCCTTCATTGATTCTAATTTTTAGAGTGTAATTGAGGGAGTAAAAGTTCTTTTGCAAATCAAAAGTCAAATTTGATGAGATTAAAATAAGGATACGGCTGATTAGACGGGATATCAGAATTTATAGGGGGATCTGGGCTTCAGATCAGAGATGCTTTTATTTATAAATATGGTATTTGAACGGATTAAAGAGAATATTGCAAAAATTTCGGCAGATATTGAGGGTTCAAGCTATTAAGGGGGGATATAAAGGGATTTGGATTCTATGGAATTGATAGGAATTCAATAAATTTACTTAAAAATTTACAAATTTTTATAAAATTTGAAATAATTGATTATCGAAAAATAGAATGACCCGCTCTATTCGAATGACCTCTCTAATTGAATGACAAATTTCTGGGGTATTGAAAAATAGAATGACTGTCATTCAATTAGATCAAATACGGTATATTAAGGGTATATTAAGGGGTAAAATAAATCTTCCTCGTATATCTTAATTAATAAAAAAATTAAAAACTAATTACTACCATGTTTTTCAACAAACAATTCATCTAAATTAATATTTGTAATTACATAAGACTCCAACCAATATTTCCAACTAAAATTATCAAAAATTTTGAGAATAACAATTTTAAATAAATGTGTAGGAACATAAATTTCTTTATCTCCAAGAACCTAAAATTAGAATTTTTTTAACTTTTATTTTACTAATTACTTGAAATTCCATTAAATTTGTTTCCTCATTTGGCAAAAATAAAGTGCCAGTATAAATAAATGTTTCTTCTGCTTTTCTTGCCAAACAACTTTTAAATATTTAAAATTAAAATTTTTAAATATTTATTTATTTACCTCATATATTCTTCAATAACCCTCCAATGCCCTTTATTAATTTTATCATATTGGGGTACTGAATTTGTAAGATAATATCCTTGTTCGTGTGGATGTAAAGAAGCTGTTGCTAAATGCCCGTGATCCAAATTAAAATACTAAATATCACAAAAAAATATTTGGCTTGTAAAAACACTTTAACAAACTTGAGAATGACCGTAATCTTCATATTTGGGTTGGAATATTTCAGAAAAGTGTGGATCAAGTTGCCAATTATTTCTTTCAGTTGGATTTAAATTATTCATCTTATCTTTAGTTAAATATTCCAAAACCCAATTTGGTATTCGCTTTCTTCGATTAAAATTTACGATGAAATCCTTAAAAAGAAATTTTAAAGCTAAATTTTGTGTTTTAAAGATTTAGTTCGCAATGGCACTAAATCTATCACTAATAGTAATAAAAATCAAAGGGTATCTTTGATTGAATAAATTTATTTGTAAAGTTCCTTGCCAGCTTCGTTAAAATTAGCTTAGAATTTTTTTGTTATCGTAAAAATTAGAGATCGGATCGATAGGATATTTTTATGATACCACTCCTGCTGATTTTATGATACCCTCCCGACCCCTCATGCTGATCACTAGTAAAGATTGATATAAAAATAAAAAATAAACTTGATATATACGAATATTTGATTCATTATAATTTTTCCTATTCATTTCCCCATTAATATTGCTCAAGTTTATATTTTTAAATTTAAACATAAATGTTGGGATAATTAATAATTCTGGAAATTTTTCAAAGGAATTCGAAGAATATTCGAATTTATTAAACAATTTTTCATTATCACAATTTTCTAAAAAATTATTACATATTTTTTAAATAAATATAGAATACCTATTTTATTTATTTCAAGAGATTTTATTAAATCAACCAATTCAAACCCAATATACCATTCCAAAAATTCTAATTTATTTTTAAACATTTCTTTCATAATTTTATTATTTTTAATATAATTTTTAAATTTCCACTTTTTTAAATAATCTTTTCCACATTTATTATCATAATTAAAAATTTTATTTTTATCATTAAAATTCTTTTTAACACCCAATTTAGCTTCAGTAAAAATTACATCAACACAATATTTTTCAATTTCATATTCGATAACAATAACTTTATAAAAGTGGGTAATTGGTGGTTGTTTTGAATTTTTATTGAACTTAAATTAAAATTAATTTCGTGATTTTTTAAATTGAAAATTGAACTAAACTTTTTTAAATTGCTTTTTTAACTTAATTAAAATTAAATAAATTACCCACAGGATAACTTTTTACATTTCCTTTTAATTTAGTTTCTTTTTTATTTTCAGCAAGTATAGTAAATATTGGGCCAGTTAATGTAATAATTGGTTTATTATTAAATGTTGAAACACAACTGAAAAATACTTTAAATTTATTTTAGATATTATCTTTTAAACATCTACGAAAATAATATTAAACTTTTTACTAAATAACTTGTTTTTGGTTTAAATTGGAGAAACTTTTCTGAAGAATTTAGGAAAGAAAGAATATCTGACTCCGCCCTTTTTCAAATATAATCTCCGGCCCGGTCGGAGCCACTCCGAAGTAAGGTTGGCGGATCCGGATATCCGAAGATTTCCAACTATCCGCCAAGCTTACTCCAACGCTATGTAGCTCCATACCCAACACTAATACTCATTGTTTATATTCCAACAAAGTTACAACAAAATTACAAACTTTGCATATTTTTCAAGCAAATTGAGAGTTTTAACCATTTCTTTATCAGTTTTATGCCCAAAGTCATGCTGAACATCTTCTATTATTTCTTTATTAGGAGTTACAATTTCTAAAATCCAATTTACATTTTTTGTCAGAAAATTAACACTCGTTAAATTGTTCTATAAAAATAATTAAATTTAGATTTATTTAACTAAATATTTATTGAAATTTATTTATTTAGGAGAATAAATCCCTTTTCAATTTTTAATAATTTCCAATAACTTTTGAAAATAAAGGGTAGGGCAAAAGTTCTGTGACAAATTTTATTTTGTCCTTTCTTAAAATTTGCTTTATATTTTGCCTTTTGTTTAAATTTCCCATATTCTATGATTCGCGCTCAACACATTTGATCTTGAAAATTTTTCCTATCTCATAAAGTAAAAATTTTACAGAATGTCAAATAATCGTGATTCTATTATTTCTTTGTATTTTAAAAATGTTCGACAATGTCACATCGCTAGACGGCTCGATATCTTTCGTATGTTAGTTTCCAAAGCAATAAAACGATATCATGATCTTGGAAATACTCAGGACCGCCTTGTAGTGGCCGGCCGTTAACCGCAGTTACGCCTGAAAACATGAACATGGTCAAATGCCGAATTCGCCGTTTTTCTGAACAATCGATGTGAAAAACGGCCTCAGGTCTCGAAATGAGCTCGAGGAGCCTCCTAAGAATTGTCAGAGTGTAGCTTAGACTTCGGAGCTACAAGATCAGCCGCGCATATTTCCTTATCAATCGAATGAAGCATCAGAGGTTTCAGAAATGCCGAATGATTAAACGCCTGGTCGCAGCTGGTCGCCATAACAGAGTGATGAAATGTAAAATTGTTTTTTGGGGGAAAGATATCTGGCCTTCAAACTCAACGGATTTAAATCCGTGGATTATTCTATTTGGGCAATTCTGTAGCAAAAAGTATGCCGAATCCGATACGCAACATAGGAGGAACTGAAAATTATTTTGAGTGGGCCTGGAACGAAATATCCGATGAACAATGCGCGACCATTGTGATTAACATCCGTAAGCGTTTGGATGCGTGTATTTCAGTCAGGGTCGGTCATTTTGAGAAATTACTTTAATAAAATGATTATTATATCCTATTGATTATATTTAATCATTTTTTATGTTAAATAAATTTTTTTACAATAGATTTTATTAAAAACATTTGTCGCCGAACTTATGCCCCACCCTGTATTTAAAAAATTTTTTAATAAAAAAATAAATTTAATTACATTATTTTCACCAATTAAAAGCCTCTCATCTTCGGGCCATCCAAACTCGTCAAAATGATTTGAGATTTTCTCTATAATCTCCAATGGATTAAAATCCAATATAAATTTTTGATTATCGGAATAATTCAAAAAACCCTCAAAAAACGAAGAAAAATTTAATTCAACTAGATGTTGATTAATTGTAACATATTCCGGATTTTCCTTAAAACATCTATCTAGCGAGTATTCAGTTGGTAAAGGCATATTTTGTAGAGATAATTGTCCTAGTTAAAATAAATTTAAAGAAAAATATGGGAAAATTTTATAGCTAAAATGACATTTTTTGATAATTATTATTTAACACGAAAATATATTATTTAATTTACGTTGACGCAGAAGCTGAAGATTGAGGATCGGCCAGTATTCTCTTGCTTTATTAAATTAAATAATCAAATTATTTATTTACTTATGTATAAATTGAATAACTTTTAATAAAAATTTCTTAATAAAAAATTTTCAAAATATTATTGGGAATTAATGAAATTTTGTGAATTTTATTATATTTTTTAAAATTAAAGATAGAATCCGATTTTCTTTCTTAGGACTGCTCTTATTCATCTATAATTAATTAAGACTAATATCGAAATTACCATTTGGGTTCAAAAATGATCCAAACTTTGAAGAATGTCTTATTGAAGAATTAAGAAATTTTAATTTTTCTGTAACTAAATTAGTTTGATTTGCGTTCTCGACGGAAAAAATTAGACAAAATAAAAAAATAAATAAATTACTATTCATCTAAATTAAATAATTTTTAATAAAAATTTAAATTAAAGCGCTAAAAGACTATTGAGAAATTAATTTAATATTAATGGAGTATATTTATTTGTACAGGCTTTAATTTATCCGACAAAGGATTGTTTATTACATCCTTTATACATGTCTATTTAATATTAATTTAAATAAATAAATTTTGTAATAAATTTTGTAATTTGGAAAAATGTTTGATAAACAGTCTATTTTTTGGATAAACATATTAAAATTTGGAATTTAGATTGAAATAATCCTTAAACTCCTCATTCAAGAAATTTTACTATCAGTGATCTGAATCTTTTCAAAATTACTAGTATATCCCCCAATTTAGTGAATAATTTTGGCTGATTCCATACACATCTTTATTAGTAGAGAGACTATTTTTAACTTGATCGTGCATAAAAATCCTGTCTCTACTTATTAGTCTTACATATACATATCTGTTAAATATTCTCAATAAATATACAATAATTACTCCAAATAAAAATAATTTTTATTTTATTTCCAAGCAAATTAGGTAATTATTAGACTCGTGTCGGTCTAACACAAGGAACAGACAAGCAAGGAACAACATTAACGACAATACATATGTATAAAAATAATCGAAAAAACTAATTCGGTATAAAAAACTGAAAAACCAAAAATGGAAAACCAAATGAGTTTTTCTAGTGCCATAAGAAATAACTTTTCATTTATTATGAACAGCCTCTATTAAATTTCAGATAAATGTGTCGCGTTGCATTTGCATACATACAAAGAATATTAATAGAATTTTCCCATTTTCGTTTTCTTGTCTATCTACATGTTCTCTTTTATTTTTCATTAATCTATCTTCATCTATATATTTTCTTTTTTGTCTTGCATTGGTCTGGGTGCAATGGTCAAATATTTTATATTAACAAATTTATAAATGGAAAAATTCGTGTCACAAGGAAGGATCGTAACATAAATGTCGGATATAGATGTTTTTTTAAACAGAGGGATATGGATGGGCACGGATATCATACTCTAAATCCGCGGATATCCATCTCAAAATTTTCGCCTTCACTTTAATCCATTCAAATCCCCCGATATCCCGCTTAATCACCGCTATCAGACTGTGGCACATAACTTCACCCAAACTATTGGCACTGAACTGGCTTTAAACTATTTTTTGAAAAATGACGAAACGTTTTTACCAGTGGCGATCCTTTGGTGGACGATCCTTTAATGGGCGACCCTTTAAACTTTTTCCCTATAACAATCCTTTAACAGGGCGATCCTTTAAAAAACGATCCTTTGTATAGGAGCCGAAAAGTTTAAATCTAATATTTTTATTAGAGATATCAAAAAATTTTGATGTGCATATTCCTTAACATAAGAGATTATAAAAATATATTTAAATGGTCAGTTTTAATTCATATGTAATTGGTTAAGTCAAGGTTTACCCAACTAAATATATGAATTGTTTTAGAGCTATCCAACTACGGATTTGGTATATTTGTTAATAACATTTGAAAAAAATACTTTATTCTTTCTCTTTTAAATTTTATATATTTCTATTAGAGATATTTATTTAAAAATTTTGCATGTTGCAGCATCTTACGTTTTGTATTTGTTTTAAAATGAAACATAATTTATTAAAATACAATTTAATTTAAATTAGTAAAATTGTTTTTGGTTTTTTGTTTTGAATTTATGACAAATAAAAAATTAAATTAATTTTATTTTTTTATAAATATTTTTATTTATTCATTACTTTTATGTTTTTTAATAATATTTAATTTATTAATTTATTTTAATAAAGCAATAAGGAAGTTTTTTTCAATTTTGTTTTACTTATTTCCTTATTAGTATTATTTTATTTAAATATTTTTTGAATATTTAACTTCCAAAATAATAATTTATTTAAAAAATTATTTTAACAGATAGATATTTTTTATTAATTTATGATTTTAATTTAAATTTAATTCAGATTTTAACCCTTGTCCTCTATCAAAAGAATAAAAAATATTAATTTAATTTAAAACGGCTAAACTTTTATTGTTTAATATTTTCAAAAAATATTAAATTGTTAAAGATAGATCTAATAATTAGGAGGGGGTGTGACATTTATGTTTAATCCTCTTTTATTTCTGAATTATGCTAATTAGTTGAAGATATACATACCTATTTTCCTTTTTTTAAATTTAATCATCATTTCTTAAAATCCTATTTCCTATTTTGGACTTTAAATTTCTTCCCCTTGAAACAAAATAAAAATATTTTTGATTAAATAAAACTGTATTTTCATACAATATTTTCTAACCCTAATAAAAATCTTCCTATGAATTTCTCTCTAAAAATCGTGGCCCTAATACTTAATACCCAAAATCAGATGTTAATTGCTTTATGGAAGTTTAAAACTTAAAATATTTATTTCTATTGAGAACATTTATTACAAAAATAATTTCTCTCTCTAAATATTTTATTTGCCAATAAATATAGCTAAAAGTAATAATTTTGAATGAGGCAATAATTTTCTAATAATTTTTTCTAAGAATTTAGAGTCAATGGTACTTTTATTGTTAATTATTTACTATCAACCTGCTTTTTTAAAAAATAAAACTTTACGTAAATAAATTTTGTTTATAAAGAATTTAATTATTTTTTGTTTTAATTTTATTTGAGTTTTGGTGTGAAAAATGTAAATTTGTTAGAGGAAGTAAAAAAATTCATAACAGAATTTTTGAACAAAAAAAGTAATTTAATTATTTTTATATTTTTTTTTATTATTTTTTAAAGTACTTATACTTAAATATTTTTATAAAGTTAACATTCTCATTGTTTAAATTACTTTATTAAAAATTAAAAAAAAATTTAAATATTTTTAAAAATATTTTTATTAAAAAGGGTAGTCTTAAAAATAAAATTTTGATTTTTTAAAAAATATTTTCTATCTCGAAAATTTGAATCCAAATAGTTTTGATAATATCCGTAAAATTCTCTCCAATTGAAAACTCTTTTATTTTATTTTAGTTTATACATACTTTGTTAATTTTGTAGCTAAATTTAGCTTGAAATTTTTATATAATACACCTGTTAACGATTGCGATTTTTTAATAATTCAAAGAAAAAATAATTCACAGGTAGTTAATAACCCCTAATTTACTCCATCGCTTAATTTCCTTTTTAAAAATTTATAAATTATAATTATGGAAATTTTGAATTTTCGAAAAAATGTTTGCTAATATAAAATTATGTTTATCTTTACTTTATAATTATGTATTAATATAACAATTAAATAAATATTTCCTGATACATATGCCCCTCAATTTATAACTTTACAATTACTTCAGAAATTATTAAGAAATTGATAGTAATTTTTTAAATGAAGTAATTTAAAAATTTATTTGCGAATATTAATGGAGATATAAATTTATATTTATATTTTTTATTAATTTAGTTATATAATTTAAAAAATGAATAATTCTTCGTCATCCACAATTCCTCAAGAAAATGCAACAACTGCTATACGTATATTTGGCGGTATTTCTTATGCTCTTCTCTCGACAATGTCAATTCTCATGAATACTTTATTAATTTCTGTACTTTTTTATGTACGTTTTGAGATGTTATTTGGCGTTTTCCTATATAATTCTTGTCAAATTTTAAATAAAATTTTATGTCCCACAACTGCTCACCGAGTTTTAACCTCTTTTCTCTTGCCAATTTCATTAAAATTAAATCTCTTCTAATTTTAAGGGGCATTATCAATTTCGCCGGCTTGCTTTCTTCACCTTAGCTTGGCAGATGGTTTTTTGTGATTTAATGACACAAAGTGTTCAATTAATTATTGCTGTCCCAGTAACATTAATGGGCCAACCTGTGAGTTTATTTGTAAATTTTAATTACATTTATTATCTAAAAATATACAAAGAGTATACTGATAAAACTGATAAATATTCAAGAGATCCTTTAACTCGATCGTTTACTCGAATTAACAAATTACTACATATGATTTTAGTGAAGGTATTCTGAAGTGTTAACGTAAAAGTTTATTATAGATCTTTTGTGGTTTATTTTTTCATTTATTTCAAAATTTTCAGATTTATGGTCACCCAACTTGGTATTATGTTATACTTTTTGTTGACACCTTTGCCTACAATGCAACTCTTCATTTTTCTGCTTTAATGACTTTAAATCGTCTTTGTGTTTTCTTCGCCCCACGTCTTAATACCATTTTATTTTCACCCAACAATATAACATTAACGGTTGGAGCTCTCTGGCTATACGTTCTTGGATTCTGTTCTTGTTATAATTGGATTGGATGTAAAAAGGCTTTCTCCGAAACTGGTAAAAAGCATTTTGATTTTAAATGTTTAGGAAACACGTACCGTGTTTAATGTTGTAATACAGAATTTGTGTGTTAATTGGGACTTATAAAAATTAATTATTATAGTAATTAATACTTCCCTTATTTTTAAGGCTTTTTTATGTATCACGATTGTCCTGAACAACTTTCTACTTTTGGAGTTATTTTTCGTTCGGTGAGAAAATTGTTAAATTAATCATAGAAATACTAATTATTCTTCGGTATACATAATTAAAATTTTTTTTATTTTTTAGATAAGCTTCCATTTAAGTACTTATTTGCCTGTTTTAATGTTAATTGCTTATTTGGCAACTTTTGTTTATATCCGTTTCTTTTTTGGCCGTCAAAATCGTGTTAGGGCCACAACCATCCAATCAAGTATTCGATCCTTAGCTAGGGATAAGGAAGAGGAGAGAATACAAAAAGCTAGGCGTCAAAGAGAAAAGAATTTTTTGGTTCAGGTAAAAATTGAGGGAAATTGAAAATTTAAAAATCAAATTTTGGTTGTTTTTAGAGTTTTCTTATCTGCGGTTTTTTGGAAATACAAAATCTCGCATTTGATATAACTCCAGCTATATTTGCCTCATTTAAAGGGCAATGGTCTTTTTTGGTTACTTTTGCTGAAAATTGGGTAAACTTTATTAAATTATCCCCACATAATATTTAAATATATTTTCAGATTTCAATACTTTTAAACAGCATTTCTCCAATAATTTTATTTTCCTTTAATGGAGATGTCAGAAAATGTTTAGCAGAATTATTTAATTATCAACCTCAATGCTGTTTTGGTCCCCAAATAAATAACCAAAATAATAACAATTTACCTATCCCCTTTACACAATCTTTTACTGTCCCTCCATCACAATTACTTCGACCTATGGCTTTAAATAGAAGAATATCTGATGAAAATAATATAGAACAAATTAATAGTAGTGAAAGAATTGAAACTTCACGAAGACAAATTTCTTTTTGACAGAAAAACTAAATTATATTTTAATAATTTTGTTTATGATTTTGTTGTGGGAAATGTTTTTAATAATTATTTAAAAGTCAGGATTCGTTATTCTTGATATCAATTTAGCATATTTTTATTATTCGGTGTCAAAACTTCCTAATTGCCACTAATTCCTAATTCTATACTGTTAGGGAAAAGAAAAAAATTATTAATTTTTATTAACTTATTGTTAGAATGAAAGTAAAACCAGAGATCGGTCCGAAATGACGAAGTTGCCGGAAATCGGAACTGTCGGAAATCGGAACTGTCTCAAAAGTCGGAACTCATATATCGAAAATCAGCCTAAAATTTCGGAATTCCGACCGACCTCTGTTCATAACGAAAAGAAAATGTGTTCCTAATTAGTCACACTTTCTATAATTTTTTAATTTGTTTGTTTGTCCATGGAATTAATTTTTTTAATTTTTCAAACAAAAAATTTGTAAATAGTCTTCTATTTTTATTTTCCTTTATTTTTTTATTAAATTTTAAACGTTTTTTAAAAGCACTCTCCTAATTTGGATTTATTTTTAAAAAAGCTTTATCTTCTTTTTTGTTTACATTAGAACAAATAAATAAATATATCCTTTTTTAATAAATATTTTTTCTATACAAATCTATACACACATTTATTTTTAAAAAATATAATCAATTAATGATGAAATAATTAATGTCTAGTAAAGCCGTTTATAGCCAAAAAATTTAAAATTAAATTAATTATTTAGAATTTCATTAAGCTTAAAGAAAATTTCATATGTTTGAAAGAAACTAGCTAATTATTCTTAGTGAATAATTAATCTAAGATATTTATATTCCCTATTAAAGAAGTCTCCTTTCATAGCTCCTATAAGGTGAAATATTTCCTTAGGAAAGAAGGAATATTTTACAATAATAGCTAAAGTTCTTAGTTTATTTTTTTTGTATCTACCTACATATTTATGTGTGTTTTTCAACTACTAACAATTAGAGACAAGATTGGGAGTTAGTATGAGAATCTCGAAAAATTTTATTTCGATAACCGAGTTTTTTGTCCTAGATTTTGTCTCAGTCCAGTCTCCTTTCATAGCTACTATCAGACTTGTGGTATAACAAAAATAATTAGTTTCAGTAATGAAAATTAACTATAAAATTAATTTTTCTATTTAATTTTTTAAATATTTTATAAACAATTTTAAAGATTTTTTATTATTTTATGCAATTTAATGTAATCTTTATAAAAATAATTTTACTATTTATTAATTATTTAAATTCAAAAAGACATCAATTATTAGGTAATTTTATTAATTTAAAATTAAAATAAATAGAATTTAATTAAAAAGTTGAATGTTTTCTTTTCTTTTTTCTTTCATTCATTTCTGTTGTTCATTCACAACAACAACAACAATCTAACCAACTTCAATCAACTAAAATTTGTGCAAATTCTGGACGTTTTATGCAAACATATTGTATTTCTGATTATAATTGTAATTCTGGAAGGCCAATTGATTTGAGTGATCCAAGTATATAATAATTATTAATTTAAAAAATAAGAATTCTCAACTAATATAATTATAAGAATGTAAATTTTGCGAGTTGCCGTACAGTATATTTCAAAAAATCTATTCAAAATTATTTCTAAATACAGTATTTCCTCAAATAATTATTTTAGAATAAAATGTACCTCTTTCAAAATTTAAATCTCATCCTTAATCTTATCCATCAAATCCTTAGATTAATTATAATTATCCAAAGCAGAAAAAATAATTATCTAAAGTAAGGTTGGGATTTTCGAGTCGGGCATTTTTTCGTACTTAATTTCTATCGGGCTGGCCCCCCGACTTTTTTGGGCTTCATCTTTCGGACCGGACCGTGCCCCCAACCCCAATCTAAAATATGTAATTAATCGTGCAGATAAATTAATAAAAAATTAATTTCTATTAAAATAAATTCCAAGTTTTTAAGGCCAAATCCAAGTTTGTATTCGTGGTTGGTGTTGTAGTCAAACAGTAACACCCAAATCACAAGTTAATGTTTACCTACCTAAAGACCAATCTTGCCCTAAAGGAACCTTTAATGTAGAATTACTTTGTCATTCAAATGAGGACTGTCTTAGAACGGTTATTATAACTTAAATATAAAAATACTCAAAAAAGGATTTCAGGGAGGAATAGCAAGAATTCCTTTCCCTATTTTGGAATGTGGAAATCAGGTATTTAATTTAGTAGAGTTTTTGGTTTACTAATTATTTAGGGGTTTTGTTGTACATCCAGTAAATATCGAAAACCTCTTCAATATGGAGATATTTGTTTAAATGGAGGCAATGCTTTAGGACAAAGGTGCCAAAAATCAGAAGAATGTCAGGGAAGACAGCAACAAAATATTGGAACGGGTAATAAATATAGGTTTATTTAAAGGTTAAATTATATTTTAGAAAATTTTATAAATAAATTAGCTTAAAGCTTTGAATAATTATCGTTAATTAAAGTTTATAAAAATTATTTTCATAAAATTAAAATAGGAGGTAGTTTGCTTTGTGTTGATGATGAATGTTGCACTCATCCTAATCAAGGGAATGTTCCAAATTTAGATGAAAGACAAAGAGTTGCTAATAAATGCCCTTCTGGAACATTTACTGTAATTATATGTTTATATTTAAATTTAAAAAATTAAAAAGGGGAAATATTGTTCGGGTTCTGTTGCTAATGAATGTGGAAATCCTTCTACAACATTTTGTTATCAAGGAATTTGTTGCTCTACTGCTGCAAGTAGACAAGATTCTAGTAAATTTATTTATTCAAATAAAAAAAAATAATTTTAAAATTAAAAAAATAAAGGTTTGGATGATTTCACTCGAGGAAGTTCTGCTTGTTCAACTTATAACTATAAATATATTAATCGTCATTGTTCTACACCTCTTAATTGTGGATTTCAAACTGACAATTTTCTTTGTATTTCTGGATATTGTTGTGTAAAATCTAATGGTAAATGTGCACATTTATATTGGGATTGTACTCCGTCCCCGGAAATTGGGGAATTTGAGCCTACTTTTTTAAATAAAATTTACAAAAAATTAACTAATATTTTTAATTATTTTATGTCCAATAAATGACCCTAAAGGATATTGCTCAGAAGATAAATTATTTAATCGCTTTATGGGACAAAAATGCAATGTAGATTCTGATTGTTTACTTGCTTATGATCCTAAACTTGGAACACAAATCCAAGTAAAATGTTTTGGGAATCAGTGCTGTGGAGAAGACTTTTCTGGAATTTCCAGACAAAAATCAGATCAACTACAAAATAATATACAAGGTGAAGATCAAAGTTAAAATAAAATAAAAAGAATTTCTAAAGCAATTTGTTATGATGGAACACCTTCAAATCAACAATGCTTTTTACCTAATGATTGTGGGGATGCACAAAAAACTTGTGTAAATAATATTTGTTGCCCAAAAAATAATGATTATGATCAATGTAAATTGTGTTTAAATTAATAAAAAATTTAATTTTTGAAAAAAGATGCTTGTGGAGGGTTACAAAGTATTGGACATTGTGATACAAAGGGGCAATGTTCTGTAGGGGAATGTGTTTCTGCTCAAGTTTGTTGTGAATGCCCTTTTGGTCAACCACAAAAACAAACATATAATTGCAAAGAAGGGGTAAATAATTAGAAAATTGATAATTTAATTTTAAAAAATTTTCTAGTCATGTGAAAAAGGATATTTTTGTAGCCGTAGTGGATTTTGCTGTCCACAATGTCAAAATGGAAAGATTCCAAGTGGAAGTTGTCATTTAGGTCAATGTGGGGCTGGATCTATTTGGTTTGGTTTTATTTAGATTTTTAAAATTCTCAATCCTTTTTTGCCTACCTAATTCAAAAAGTAAATTAGAATCTCGTTAACTATTATGAAAAAAAATTCGAAAGAAAGTCGGATACAAAAACCGATAAAAATTACTTTAAAAATTAAATTATATTAAAATTGAAATTTATTTTCAGCCAACTAGGAAATATATGCTGTGAAGGAATTATTTAAATATTTAATATTTACATTGAATAATCCGGTGAATTTAATTAGTTCGTTTAGTGATATTAGGTATTTATATTTGTTTTGAAATATATAAAAATTAATTTTGAAGAAAGTCTACATACGTTAAAGTTTATTTTGCATTATTAAGGAATTAAATACAGTCGAACTTAACTCACATGTCATCTTCAGACTTGGTAATGGATACGGATACTGATAATTTTAAAATACCTCCGGATATTCGCCTGTATCCGCCATAAATATCGGATACGAATACCAAAATCTATGTCCATTACCAAGTCTGGCATATTGTTTGTTTCTCACTCCCAGAAATTTTAGTTGGTTAGCCAATGGGGAAAGCTGCCCCAAAGTTTCTCAATTTAATGTTACATTTTTCTGAGCAAGAATTAAAAGTATGGTCCGACTTATTATTTAAATTAAAAATCTATTTCTGAACACAATTATCATTATTCGGTTATTGTTATTATTTTCATCTTCTCTTTTACAAATGTTTTTCCCCTTTCAAAATGACTGATTTGCATTAGCTTGATTTTTCCTTTAAAAAATAAAAATTTAAATTAAATTTTTCCCCTAAATTTTACTTTGATGTTTCATAACTTTGAAGATTAGTTTCTTCTGTAACAGAAGTTGGGCCAACAGAATATTTAGAAACATAACGGCAGGGCCAAAGTAATTTGGCTACAGTACGTCGATAATGGTCAATAAATAAATAAAAAATGCAGGCATTAATTAATTGATTAGCCATTACAAGAACATGCTGCCAGGGAACAGTCCACAAAACTGTATCCGGGGGAAGAATAAATCCGAGAACATAAGTGACAAAAAACTAAAAAATTCGAATAAAAAATAATTTTTAAAATTATTTATTAACCAAAGTATTGCAAATTAAAAATCCACAAACAACAGCTATAAGCATTGTAGATATCGATATTTCTTTTGCCATACTTTGATATTTTACAGAATTGTCGGGTTTCATTTCGGCATGAACTTTTCGAGACCTATTTTCAATTCTGTTATAAATATACAATTTTGAGTAGTGAACGGCAAAAAGAGGTATTTTTGTGTAGTTACCTGTCTGGTTCATTTATTGGTATACCGAAAAATACTGTAGATACCGTATGTTGCGGTTCACTAATTTTTAATATTTTTAAAATTATTATTATTATTAAAATATAAATTATATTATTATTAAATTAAAGTAAATTTAATTAACAAAAAAATTTTAAAATTATTTTTCTTACTTTCGCACTTCCAAAATAATCATAATATTAAAAAAGAATAAAGCAGCTATTGGAGTAAAGAAAACAAATGCCAAATAGGAATACATATAAATCATAGCATTTCGATATGAATTGTTTATATTGTATAGTTCAACAAATTCTGATTGGAAATAACTGCTATAACAACGTCTGGCACGATACTAAGGGAATTAAGGATAAAGAATTATTTGACCATTTTATATACAAAAAAGGAAGAATATATATTAAATGTTGCTGCAGCCAAGATAATTAAAAGTAAAAATATTTTTGTTTTTCCAAGTGTTAAAACTCTTCCAGTTTTAAAAGGAAAACAAATTGCAAAGTAACGATGTGCGTGCATAAACATTGTTGTCCAAACACTGAACAAACTTTTTAAAAAAATTTTTATTTTAACTATTAACCTCAATGTATAAAGTGTAGTAAAGAATGGATAAGTGTAAGGAAAGAGGGTTTCACTTTAAAATAAAAATAATTAACAAAAAAAAATAATTTATTTGCCTAGTTTCAACTAGCCATTTCCATTTTATCAAATAACCAAATCCAACAGCTGTAAAGGAAACCGTTGTATCCAACAGAATAAGCATATCCGTTATAGCTATTAATTTACTAATTTAAATGGATATTTATATTTTCTTACAAATTAGCAAAAGATATAAATTTATTTGTCTGGTTCTCATTGATTTTGCTGAAAATACGCGAATCTTAAATTTAATTTTAAAAATAAGTGAAAGAAAATAAATTTAAATTACAGAAATCATGTCAGAAATTAATCCAATAAACAAAATAGGTAAATAACCAACACCTTAAAATTATTTTTTAATTTAGTTTTTCAGTTATAATTAAAGCTCGACCCCGGGCCGGGCCCGGGACCGGGTTTTCCGGGCCCGGTAGCCCGGAAACCGGGTATTTTGATAAAATCCGTTTTTCCGGGCTTCTGGGTTTTTGAGGTTTACGGAAGCCCGGCCCGGATCGCGTCTGAAAAACCGCTCTGAAAATTTATTTCTATGACTGGCCATATCTCATTAAATAAATCGAGTACCTAATTTATTAGTATTTTAATTAAATTAAACTACCCATTAACCAATGATTCCCAGACCATCTATAATATATCATTTCTGTACATTCCCATAAATTATTTCTACTAGATGTATCATTTGAAGTTAAAGTAAAATTATTATTTAAAGTATTATTAAGTTCAAAATTTGAGGAATTATTAAAATTAATTAAAGAATTATTATTGTGAAATAAATGCCCTTCTGCTGAATGGTTGTTCATTTTAGGCTAAAAATAATTATTTATTTAATAAACATAAAGTAAAAATAGGACGTTTTATTTTAAATTCTGTTTTTTTTTCTTTTTTGTGATAATTTAAGAAAGTGTTTTTCATTGAAGATTTTATGTATAAAATTCAAAAAAATTAATTTATCTGGCTAGATATATTTTAAATAATTTATTAAAAATATTTTAAATATAATTAATTACAAAATAAAATTTAGATTATAATAATTATAGACATTTTTTAACTAAAAAATTTTTGTCAAATAGTTAATGGGTTTAAAGAGTTCACTTAACAATATTAATGTGTTAAAGTAATTCCAACCGAGAATGTGATCACAAGCCCCAATATTATAATAAAAACTCTATTAAATAATTATCAAAACCTGTTTTTTGTTTTTATTTTCAAAAAATAAAAGGTAAATTTAAAATAATTATTGGTACAAACACACCCTTAATGAAATTAACTTTTAAATTATTAAAATAAATTTGAACGAAATTTTATTTTTTCGACCTAGTTTTTTAAGTAAAACTTCAATTTTGATTAATTAATGAATTAATTTAAATTAATATGAGTGAGATTGAAATTAGCAAAAAAAATAAAAAAAATTGTTAGACAATAAAATAAAAGTTGGTTGAAAATATACATACACTCTGCGTCAAAAATGGTTGGCCGCCTAGTTTTTCTGAAATATTTTTTTCCAACTCTGAGATAGGGCGTTTGTTCTGGCCCTATCTCAGAGTTGGAAAAAAATATTTCAGAAAAACTAGGTGGCCAACCATTTATGACGCAGAGTGTACTTATATAAACAAAAAATAATCTGCCGGAATTAAATGATAAAATTTAAATATATTTTTTATAATTTTTTAAATAGAAAAATATTAGGTATATAAATTTGAATAATTAGTAATCAAAAATTATTTTACAAATAATTTTTATTTCTTTTAAATAAAATATTTTTTGAATGAATAGAAAATAAAACTCATATTTATACAATTAATAATAGTTCTAAAAATATAAACGGAAATTTGTAATTAACAAATTCGTTAATTAATTAATTTCTAACTGAAAAAAATTTTTTTAGTAATTAAAGAAGATGGGAGGAAATTCAACAAATTCTAATTTATTCAATTCAAATACTAAGCAAGTGACAAAATTTTAAATTAAATTTGTTTTTTAATTAATTGTTATTTGTTAAATTTTGCACATTTACTTCAAACTTGAGTTAATTTATATTGCATTTAGTTAGAAGGTTCTAGAGAAATCTCCGGATATCCGGTCTTTTTTTTAAATAGTGAGAATCCTCCTGTGATGGAGAGTACCTCGATAATAATTTTTTGGAAACAACGGCACAACATTTAGCAAAAAACTAGTGATCCGTAAAAAGAACGCCACAATAAAAAACACTTATTCTTTAGAACATTCCTTCCAATACACATAGAATCTTCCTTTTTCCAATACATACATAATTATATTCAAGTTTTTTAAAATTTATTTTAAGTACAAAATGATATAAATTTTAAAAGTTTTTTTGTAGTAATTTATAATTATAATTGATTTAATTAAAATTTAATTTCGCAATTCAACACTGCAATTATAGTCTGGAAGTTTAACTGCAAAAGTCTGACGTTTCTCATATTTTGGTGGATTTAGTGGATTTGGAGGATAAACCTTTAAATAATTTAAATATAATTATAACATATTTTTATTTTTTACATGAAATTTATAGAAGAAATTAGCTGTAAATAGGAAAAGTTCCATCCTTGCTAATGCCTCACCGGCACAACTTCTAAAATTAAAATTCTTTAATTACTTATCAAAAATAACCTTTTTCCAACACCAAAAGGTATATTTTCTTCAATTTTTTTAAATTGCCCATTCTCGTCAAGAAAACGCTCGGGAATAAATTTTTCTGGATCCGGAAATATCTTTAAAATAATTGTTTTTTTAATCCAAAAATATCCAAAAATACTTTTTCATCGAATAGAACAGTGCTAATTTGGGGTATAACTACAGTCCCAGCCTTTAAATTGTGACCACCGATTTTAACATCTTTATTGGCTACTCTTGTTAAATTTAATGGAAGAAGATTTGATAAACGTTGAGTCTCCTTCAGTAAATAAAAATTAAAAAATTTAGAAATGATTAAAAATATAGTATTAGATTTTAGTATCGCCCTTTATCTTCTTAATTCGTATGCTGTAAATGCTGAAATATCTACCCTGGGTAATTATTGTTTGAAAATCGCTGAAGCGGGTAATTATTAAGAAGTCTATGATTGTCTATTATTCGGTTTGGCAAAATAACTGGTAAACCGAAACCGACCGATAAAGCAAACCGTAGCTGGCAGTTAGCCAAACCAGAACCGAATATTTTCGTTTAACCTTGATATCCACCTTACTTTGATGTGATAACAAAAAATGGATAATTATTTGAGAAAGGGTAATTATTTCAGCATATACGTTAGGCCCCACTAATTAACTTTACTAACATTAACAACAGCATTTGTATAATTTAATTTAGTACGATCAGATTGACGAAACTTTCCATCAAATTCTTCGCCAGTTTCTTCAGCCAACATTCTTTTTTCTTCCATTACTTTATCTAATTCATTTTGCAACTTTTCTTGTGAACTTTGATCTAACATTAAATAAAGAATCAAAAAATTAATTGTATTTGATGTTGTTTCCTTTAAAATTATTTTTTAATTTTTATAAAAAAATTTATTTTTAAATTGAAAAGTAATTTAGTTAATTAGGTTAATTACTAATTTAGTTAATTACTAAATATCTTAAATCGTTAAATTATCGTTTTACTACATACACAACGATTTTTTGCAATGGCTTAGAATTTTAAAATTAAAAAAAAAATTTTTAATAACCGATGATTTCTAATTTAAAAATTTTTTAGTTAACATTTTGCTTTAAATTAATTTTATTACAAATATTTATTCAAAAATTAGTATCAAAATTAAATTAACCTGTCCAGCTAAAAACATATCATAAACAAAAGCAGTCAAGTATTTAACTCTAAAACATAAATTCACTTAAAATATTTACTTATAAACTTGTAATAATTTTCTGGATCATTCTGATCAGTTTCTTCGACGGATTCTAAAAATTGATCTAAAACATCCATTCCCTCTTCAGGTAAATAATTTGGATCTTTTCTAGCTTCAATTCTTTTATCAATTTCTTTTTGTGAATATTCAAATATACTTTCTGTTGCTTTCTTTCCATAATTGTAAAAATGTTTTACATAAATTGGAATATGTCTAATCCTTTTAAATATTTAAATTTATGATCATCTATAAATTCAGTTTTGGGGAATGAAAGGACTGGAAAAAGCAAATTAAAGAGAGGTGGAAAAAATCTGCAGAAAATTTGCTACGTGACCTATCTTTAGAAGTATAATCTCTTCCAGACCTTAACTAAATTTCCACTCAATTTTTGACACTCTTTAGAAAAATGAATTTTGATTGTCTGATCATTAATATTTATTTAATTTAATTTAATTTAATTTATTGAGTAAACCACAAAGTACATAAAAAAGTACAATTATAGTGGTAAAATTAAAAATAAATTTTCAAAATACTATAAGAAAATGTCATAATAAATTTATAAAAAAAATGTCAATCTAGGAGGATAAGGGAGTTGCGAACTAAAACCTCTATTTTATAAAGTTATTAACAAGTACTCTAAATTTTTGCGAATTATATGTTTGTAAAATCTCATTAGGTAAGCTATTCCAGTTATTTATGATTCTATTAAAAAAATTATTTCTAGTTTTACCGTTAAACTTTTTGTTCCTTAAACAAAATATTTTCCTTTTAGCTTTTACTGCAAAATCAAAGTATTTTTGTGGGTCTAGATGCGTCTGTTTTGTTATAATTTTGTGCGCCATTACAAGATCGGCTACTTTTCTTCGATGGCTTAGTTGTTTTAGTTTGAATTTGTTAAGTCTTTGTTCGTAAGGTAGTGACGTTATTCCTGTGATTTTTAATGCTCTTCTTGTAAAATATTTTTGTACTCGCTCTATTTTATTAATTTGAAGAATTCCGTTTGGGTTCCAAATTTCAGTGGCATATTCAAGTTGAGGACGAATATAAGACTTATATACATTTATTAAAGTCTTAAATTCTCTAGTTTTTAATATTCTTAGTATTTGATAAGTTATAAAGTATGAATTTTTAACTATTTTATCAATATGTTTGTTAAATTTTAAGTTGTTATCAATTAGGATACCTAAGTCTCGCACACAATCTGATGTGTTTAATGTTTGATTAAATATCTTATATTCCTGTTTAAGGTTTTCTTTTCCTATATAAAGTATTACACATTTCTTAATTGATATTTCTAAAAAGTTTGATATAACCCAATTTTGTAATATTGTTATTGATTTATTAAGATAATTAATATTAGAATCATTATTATGTGAAATATAAAGCTTTATATCATCTGCATATATTTTATAGCCTATTTCTTTTGGAAGGTTGACAGGGAAATCATTAATAAAGATTGTGAATAAAATAGGTCCCAAAACACTGCCCTGGGGAACACCTGAATATGTACGAAAAGATCTTGAAAACGAGTCATTTATTTTTACACGGTAGGATCGTCCTGTTACAAAATGCTTTATGAATTCAAAAATTTTTCCAGATATACCAGCATTTTTAACTTTTGTAAGTAATAAATTTATTGGAACTGTGTCAAAAGCTTTTTTTAAGTCGATATAAATTACATCTATATTCTGATTGTTACCTACTGCATTGTAAAAATCTTCTAACATTGTTAGAAGTTGTGTAGTAGTGTAAGGGTCAAAGGTATTCTCGGAGTTTGTTTCCTATAGTTTATAGTCATTTTATTATTATTCATTTCCCTCCCACTTTTCTCACACATTTAAAAGGATTTGTAATCACCTTACAAGGGTCTTATTGTTCTTTCACTTTAATAAATATTTTAATGGAGTTTTAATTGTTTGGATTTAATAAATATATAAATTGTGTGTTCAATTGTATGTGTCCGGTGCAGGAGATCAACCGGGGGCCTGATCAACCCTTGGGTTCCTCTTAGGAAGTCCCGGGCATATTCCCTCCCGTATTCCATCATTCTGGGGTTTGGGCCCACCGCATTGGTTATATCTTGTTCCGGGGTCCCACCTCTATTGGTAGCACCGGTCCTTCGACCTCGACGTGGAATACTGGAGGTAGGTGTAATTTTTTAATATATATATATTAAAACTAAAAATTAAAGGCCTAAATAAAGAAAAAATAATTTTTGTGAAAACTATAAGACCCCGGGGCATGTAAATTTTTGGGAATAAAAATAAATAATAAAATTCTAAGTTTTGTGGTAGCCGGCGTAAAACCACTTCCTTCGGGAAATAAAAGGATTTAAAATAAATATATTATATTTTTCTCTCTATTTTCTTATTTCATAAAGTCTAATCTTCAGAATTTTCTTCCCTTCTTCTTCAAAAAAAAAAGGAAAAACAAGAGTGATCTTCTGGAAGAGTATATTCGTTAATAATTTATTGGCTAGTCAAAATCTATTTTTGGGAGTAGATGTAAGACCAAATTCCTTCGGGAAATAAACGGATTTTAAATATACATACACACCTACATACATATAATTTTTCTTTTTTCTCTACTTTCTTATTCCACTAAGTCTAAATTTGTGACATTTTTTTTTCCTCCTTTTGGGATAAAGCAGACAACCAATAGTGATCTTCTGGAATAGAGTATATTTATGAGTAATTTAAAGTAAATAAAGTGAATTTTTCGGGGTGAAAGCAAACCCTATTCCTTCGGGAAACAAAAGGATTTTATATAAAAAAAATATATATTTATTTTTCTACTTTTATTTTTCCGAACTCCTCTTCAAAGTCTATATTTTCGACTTAATTCATAGAGCCTTCCAAGACCGAAAATTTTCCAAGACTCGAGACCAAGAGTCTATTAATTCAAAATTCCTAATATCATGAGTAATAGAGGTGATCTTTTGGCTTAACATTTAGTTATTATTAATATACATTTTTATCCCATCAACCTTTGATCATTTTTACACATTAATTCTCGGCCATTTTTTTTTCCCTTCCTATTCTTCCATTATTTTTTTTCAATTTAAACTTTTGTATTCCCACACCTTTTATCGTCCCATTAGCTTATTCACTAAGTGTTATGTTTATTAATAATAGTTTGATATTTTCTTGCCCTACTTTTTCTTCACTCGTTTAGCTTAAAGGGAAGATACAAAATTGTTTTTAATTGTAATACCATTTGCTTTTTCCTTCCCGCATTACATCTTTGTCCCATCTTCTATCCTTATTTTATCCTTTACAAATAAACATTTCTTTAATAAATGTGAAATTGTCTTTATTATTAAAATTTATTATATGTGCATAATTTTTTTTAAATAAATTTTTATTATTTTTAAATAAATTTAAAAATAAAATTTTAAAATAATTTCTAAATAAATTTTTATTATAAATAAATTTTCCTAAGTATTTTTGTCAAATATCTGTTTAAAAATATTTGAACAATCCTTTTTAAATATTTACAATTATCAATTTAATGATTTTTTTTTCACTAATTTCAGTCTAAAAAAAACAACACTAAATTTTAAATTAATTTTTATTTTGCTTTGGCTACTACCCGGATTTGAATCTTTTTGGAATTGTAAGTTAAAAAAAAAACGTCCCTAAAATATATATTAGTAAATTAAAAATAAATCTTCCAACCCTTTTCAACACTAAATCAGTGATTTTTCAGATATCTGACTCATTGTGATTGGCGTTGACTCATTGTGACGGTGAACGTGAATTACCGTTTTGGATTGGAAGTGAGTTTAAAATTTTGATTAAAATAAAAATTCAAAATTTTTATTTTTCCCCTCATTTTGAATTAGTTTGTCTCTTTAAGATTTTTTTAAATTTATTTTTAATACCCCAAAATTTTCGTATCTAATTTTTCTGATATTCTATCTATTTTTGACATTAATTATTATAATTTAAATCTTCTATTTGAATCTTCTTACAATTCTTCCTCAACTTCTATTTACTTAGAAATTTAATTTTTGAATGTCACAAGAAAAATGGGGTATTTTTTTTTGTATTTTCAGAGTTTTAAATATATTATTGTTTTTGAAAAACACTATTTGGGTCGGAAGAAGACATATACATATAAGAGTTAGGTTAATACAGTTTTGACCTTTATTTCGGTTTGGAGTTCTGGGAATTCCCGGCAATTTTTCTCTAATTTTCTAAGTATTTATTTTATAAATTATTTTGTTTGTTTATTAATTGGTTTTTAAAACTTTCTAATTATTTTTCCTTTTCTTCCAGCTTTTCGATCTGTTCATCTATTCAATAGTTTTTTAATTTTTTTTTCCCTCTTACAGTAATTATTTTAATTGAAAAAAGAGAAAAAAATAATTCCAAATAAATTTCTAATTGGCTGAAATTAGAGCTTAGGAATTGATAAATGGAAATATTTAGACTAAAATGAGAAAATAAATTTTTTTTTTAAAAAAAAGGGAAAACATTTCTGGGATAAAATTAAACGTAAAAAAAAAAAAAAAAAAATTCTTTTTAGTTTACCCGAAATTACATTCTACTTTCCTTCAATTATTCTAAATATTAATTTATTCACTTCTTCTATATTCCCCTTAGTTAAAAAAAAGATTATTATCTTTATTGAAAAACTATCTGGATTGATTTAAAAGAGGCCTGTAAATGAAAGTCTAAATTCTGTATATATTTTTCTTTTATTTTCAGCTATTACTTCACTGCTTTTATGATTTTTATAAAAAATCTAATTTTTAAGCTTAATTATATAAGAATTCTATTTATTTAGCCCCTTCCAAACCCCTTCCTGGGTTTATCAGGGACTGGGGTTTTCCTGGACTACAGGCCCAGAATCCGGCCAGGGTTAATAATTCAAACCCGGAACTCAGTAACAGGCCCAGGCTTTTCAAAATTTCCGATCTCTATTTCCAAGTT